CAGCATCAGCTTTCCAAATCTCTCCTCTGACAAAAGTAGACCCAAAAGATTTGTTGTTGTAGTGTCAGATTTCTTAACCTCTCAAGTAATATGAAATACAGTAAAGAAATTTCTTGTAATAACCAGCATCAGCTTTCCAAATCTCTCCTCTGACAAAAGTAGACCCAAAAGATTTGTTGTTGTAGTGTCAGATTTCTTAACCTCTCAAGTAATATGGAATACAGTAAAGAAATTTCTTGTAATAACCAGCATCAGCTTTCCAAATCTTTCCTCTCACAAAAGTAGAGCAATATATTTATTGTTGTACCATAAGCTTGAAATGCATTTCAATTAGATATTTGACTTTGGAGTTCCCCCTCTAGTTGACGTAATTCGGAACAAATATCAGACTAATAAATATGTTACAAGTCAAAGTTTATTACGTCTAACCGTTGCAATTCTTTATAACTACATTCAAATATTTGTTCTATGTTCTACCGTTAACAGAAGAACACAAGTTTCATATTTTTACTTATGGTGATCAATAACCTAGCACAGTGGTTCTCAACTTTTTTCAATCCAACGAACTCTTCTGGGGTCAAATTTGTGTCACGGAACCCTTCACAAGGTTCAATACAAAAACAAACAAACAGAGAAACAAAAAACAACAACAACAAAAACATTACTGTAATACTATATCAATAATTCCAGACAGAGCACGTATCTTTAAAGCAACTATATTCCCACACACATACATGTAAAGGATGAAATATTTCTCGAGCCAATTACTCGGGCACACACACACACACACATGACAGAAGCGTGATCTCTCACTAATAAACGTTACATGACTCAAGCACCTATTTGTACCTTGTCTCACTCATAATTTATAACAATGCTGTGACTTGTTATGTGGTGTCGTTGTGAAACCCACTATACTAATAAAGAAATATGTCGGATTGCAATTATGTGACTAGTATACATTAGAAACAGCGGAACAGCCCCTGGATGTCAAAGGCCTAGTTATTTCGTATTTGTACTTGTTCTTCTCAAGTGTGTATTCATTTATATATTCATTGAAAATGTGACATTTGTACTTGGAAAATAGTGTTAGAAGTTTCACGGACTTTCAAAAATTACGTATGATATAATTTAACCAGTGAGTGCTGTTATTTTTTATAACTGTGTTTAATTAAAAGGAAATTAGTTGCAATATAGCAGGATCAAAAGTTTTTAAATATATCTTCCTTACTTATACTTCAACAGCCTGCACATTACAGAAAATATACCTTTAACAAAAACCTTAATGTCTTTACAACACGAAGCCAGTGTTTGTTTCAGAGGTGTTCAGTATTGGGTTCATTCTCTGTTAAATGTTTTAAAGGATCTCTTCTCACAGTAGCGTTATCTACTGGACTTTGAAAAACGGAGATTTCGTATAAAAACAAAATATTTATAACACTCCCAGCTATGTCTTTCTCCACTTTTTTAATGGACTTTTTATTCGTATATATTTTTTTAGTAAAATGCATTTTTTTATTATCAAATTATAATTAATTATAAGCAATATACTTTTTTAGCCATGTGGAAGAAACGAAGCCTATTTTTGGTGGCAAGAGCTATGTTTGTGATTCCCCTGACAATAAATAATACAAATTAATCCCCCCTCTGAGTAAGAAATTTTGTTAGACAAGCAATGACATATCATAAAGTATAATAGTGGCCATGCTGGAGATGGAAACACGTGCTATGAAGATTCCCCGAAATCATATATCAAAACTAACACTGGACATTCAATTCTCTCTTCTGCCAGGCCCAACGGACAGTAATTTGGTGAACTTAAACGCTAAAATCTGGGGCTCGATTCCCATTTGTGGACAAAGCGAGAATAGCTTAGTTTGTAGCTTTGCGCTTAAACAAACAAACAAACTCGTATGCTAGTAAATGTGAAGTGAATTTAGGAGAGTTTATAGCTATAACTACAAACCCTTGAATAAATTGTGGGAATGCTTATAGACTAATATTTTATTTTGTTTTATTTGAATCAAGGTTAGGTGTGAGGTTGCATATGACAACGGCGACTACACACGAGATAGTCTAAGAATGCACAAAAAA